TCGTGAAAACTCATACATTTGGTTTCCAATTTGTTAGATAAGTCACACTTTAACCTTCATTATTTTTTCAAGTTTTTTGAGGTAAAAAGAAAACTCTGAGCGAGAGGTTTTTAAATGTGCCAAGCTATATAGTGTGCATTGGACTATATTTCGATATCAACAATGATGCAAATATCAGTTTTGGTATTGATATCACATATATCACGCTGCACGTACGTGCATATACTGAACCTGCTGAACGTGCGTTACATAACGAACTAACCGAACTAGATAAATAAACCTTGTATAATTTTTTTTTTATCCGATACAACTTTAACTATGGATCGGGCGATCAGAAACTGAATGAGGGAAGCACACGCTACACTTTTCAGTTCAGAAGAAATTCTTCTTGTAATGACCACAGACCACGAGTGTCCGGGGGGAATGGTGGTTCAAAATTCAGAAGAATCGAATCCCTTTCGTGAGGGTGAACAGCAAAATACTAACTCGGTGAAAACTAAATCAAGATAGTTTTGTTGTCTTTACAACACTCTCTTGAGTTTCAGGACGCAAATATAGTTGAAGGAGAGATGATCGGAGACAAGCATTTTGAAATAATCATTTCTGCTGCCAAGATCAACTGCAGTTCCGAAGTCAAAGCTTTACCATGATGAAAAACACAAGTTTCCGTAGCAGTTGACAACAATTAACGTACCACATGCACAGAGCCTCAATCACTTACGATTAATTAGAAACTGGGGAAGTAGATACAAAGTCTTAAGTGGAGATCATAAGGTTTTGTTATCGTTCATTAATATATTATTGCCTTGAAAACGTTTGTTTTCAGTGACTTTCCTCGTTGATCCTGAGAAAACGACATCAAACTCTCTGACGGCCAGGTGAAAAAAGATCATGGTAAGACTGTTATCGCGAAAATGCCGTTTCCAATTCAAGCTTTTTGGTGCGAATTAATGTAAGATGGTCATGACAAACAAACCTCTTGATTTGAATCAAACTATCCCAACAAAAAAAAAAATAGAAAATGTATGACAAAGTAAGGAGATTAGATTAGGATTGACAAAAAAAAAATCGTTTCGAAAATCATCTCGGTCGAACTATCATTTAACTATTTTTTGAAAAAAAAGAAAACACTTTAGGTTTTAAAATACTAACAAACTTAAACCAAAGAACGTTTTACTGAAGAAAAACAGTCTCCTTTCTGCAGTCTTGCCGAATCATGGTTAATTTTGCGCAGAAAATGAATCTTAGAGCAGCAAAATTTTGCGAGAGAATTGATAAATTTTTGGAACGATAATTTATGGTTTTACACTTATCTTGGGAAAGAGCTACTTTTTTGCGTTTAATTCTCTCAGAACATGAACCTTCTAAGGATAATCCTTTGTGAAAATATAAAAAGACATAGTAGGGTTTGTTGTTCGATGCGGACTTTTCACAAATGAATGCAGATGACCGGAGAGGAGAGATGACCGGAGACAAGCATTTTGAAATAATCATTTCTGCTTCCAAGGTCAACTGCAGTTCCGAAGTCAAAGCTTTACCATGAACTGAAACACAAGTTTGCATAGTAGGTGACGCATGCAACGTACCACATGCACAGAGACTCAATCACTTACGATTACTGATTAGAAACTGGGGAAGTAGATACAGGGAGATCATACAGGTTTTGATATTGTTCATTAATATATTATTGCATTGAAAACGTTTGTTTTCACTTTCCTCGTTAATCCTGAGAAAACGACATCAAACTCTCTGACGGCCACGTGAAAAAAAAAAATCATGGTAAGACTGCTGTCGGAAAAATGCCGTTTTTTCAATATTTTATTATTTTCACAACGTCATTGTTTATTTAGTCTTTGTATCTTTAATACAGATTGATTTGATTAAAGAAAATTCCGCTGTCACTAACAATCATACCAGGCTAAAAGTTTTGCATAACAGCTGTAAATATTTAAAAGTGTATGAAGATGCCAGTTTGATGGCTTCGAATAGAACCAAATGCACTTTACAGTCTGTTCACTTTGGAGCGTTTTTGTTCTTTGATGAGCAGTGTTCATGAGTTCTAGATCCAAGCGGGAACTATCTTGAATGCTTATTTATAAACCGCAAAGCTGCTTAGTACCTTGTACCGGTTAAGAGACCGAACACTGACAGATGAAACTGAACTGAAAACGCGAAATCGTCCACTTTAGCTTGTGGAATACAGTGAAGATCGTCGGTAGATTCAATAAATTCGTTGAAATCGGACTCGAAGTCAATCATCAGCGAGGTTAAATCATCATGGATTAATCAGATCAGTTCTTTGACTAGCAACTAAATCAAGATCTCTTTGTACAGCATGTTAAGCCGAGTAAAGCTCGCCGGGTTAAGAAACCCGCCACACAAATCGATGATAAAAGCCGTTGATGTAAGTAAACTGCACTGCAAGACAACCCATGCGACAAGCTTGATTCCAGTGACTTGAGATCAAAGATTCGCTGATGCCCCTGAGCCGCTCCGGGTCCAGTCCTGGAGTCAGAAGCTTTTTGGACCAAGTGTTGACCATGTTAAAAGCATCCTCTTCGCTCAGAGAGGTGGAAATCTCGACCAATCTATCAGGACCAGGGATGTTATCGTACCACCGAGATAACATCCATTCTCCGCAGTGTTTCTCCAGCGTAAAACGTGACATGGCAACACGAAACACTAAAGAGGTAGATGAACCTGCCAGACTACAAATATGCGCACGAATGGCTTTAACCGGATTACAGCTGACTTTTAGCGCGTTTGTTTTAAGAACGCGGGAATTGTTTTCAATCCAAATGCTCGGCCATTCTCCGGTTTGTCATCGATCTTTTTACTTTCGAGGCAAAAACTAGAAACGATCTTCCGAACCGTTATCGATTCGTTGCCAAAATACCTCGTCCAAACTCGATACCACACTCGAAAACGATCGATTCCGAACGGAAGATCGCGTTTGTTGAGATGCATAAATTACGTATTAATGAGCGTGATTGACTACTGAAAAATTTCTTTCAGAAAACTGACAATAAGTGTCAGAAAACAAAACTTAGCTACGACTTTGGAAACTAAATTTCATACTGCACGAAATGAAAAGGAATGTAAGGCCTTGGCGATTTGGAGGAGACTGTACAACGCGAACAAATTGAGTCATAGCTCGAAATAAACTAAAAGAAGTCACTGCACACTGTACGTCATAATTACACGTTTATTCTCATCACAATCTCAAACTTTGTTCGAATAAATTACATTAACTGTACAAATTAAGGACAAATTACACCAGAAGAAATACATTCCCTCGTGGTTTCTACCTAGCTACTAAAAATTCTGACTTAAAAAGGTTAAAATTCAAATCATATCTCACTCTCTGGAGGGAGCTGATAAGTTTTCGATTGTTACAGTATTTTTAACTAGTTCCACTCGACTTTGGTGGCAGATGCTGGCACCCACCCTCTGGGGATATGTAATTTAAAATCAATTCAGTAAAATTACCCCCAAAACTAAAATTGCAATTTTAAAACTCAGGTTTAATTCTTTGAATTTGCAAGCCGAGTGTAAATCTACATTTTACATAACTGGACGATAAAAACGCAATAATGAAACATATCAGAATTGCGTCAGTCAATAGACAAAATTTAAAACTGTTCTCATTAACAGAGCTGCGTTACCCGACGTGCTTTCATTTGGGGTTGCGTGACAGCGACGCGTTACCCCACGCGTTTTACAATGGTGTCCCATTACAGCCCAGAACGTGACCCAAACTTTTAGCCAAACGGGTTTCACTGCTAACTGGCTCTAACCAAGACGTCTTGAGCGAGAACGTATCTGCTATTATAAGTTAATAATTTTCTAATTACATTTGATAAAACGAACAACTAAAAAAATCATACAGGGAACTGCATGTAACATTTCTCAAACAACTGTTCAACCCATTCGCTATGTTCTAAAACGAAAATCGAAAGTCGCGTTGCACAAGTTACATTCCTCGTCTCGTAAATTTTCAGTGTGGGACAGAAGGTTAGAGAGTCCGCTAACTATTGTAAAGGCTGGCAATTCAGTGCTGAGTGCCAAAGTAAGGATTCACAAAAGAAAAGCCACGGAATTGGCCTTGATCCATAGACTGAAGCAGATCTTTGTCTGTCGGAGTGAACTTGGGAACCTCCATTGTGAAATCAGGATCGAAGTTGTTGGTGTCATGGTCTGAGGCCTGTGAGACAAGAAAAGGTACGCAGGCGTTAACAATGAGAGAAACGACAAATGAAAGATGAACGTGACATTAACGCCGTTGCGTGACATGTAATGCGCTTTGGATGTGACTAACATGAAAACAGTTACAAACTTCTCAATACTAGACCATAATCGTACTCTCGATATTGGACTGGAAATAGCTTGCAACTGAGGCTAATGCGGGGAGTCTTTTCAAATGACGTCAATCTCTTTTTCATGATCTTCCCCCGCATGAGCCTCTATTGCAAGCCAGTTCCAGTCCAACACCGAGAATACGAATATGGCCTATTACCTACTTTAGAAAGCTGGGGCGAGTCTTATCTCGCAGTACCTTGTGGGAACGTTAATGGGGACAGTTGTTGCGTTCCCAATAACGGTACCACACGCGACTGGGAGATGAGACTCGCGCCAGATTTCTTCACATTTGTAAAGTGGCGAATTTGAGAAAGTTTACGGAGGCTATGAAGACAGTCAATGGCTTCGAGAACGTAGTTAACAAAGAGATTTAAAGGAGAGCTCACCTGTAGCTCTGCAAGTACCTTTCGGCAAATTTCTTAACCCTCTGCAAACTGCCGAGTTTTTTAAAGGCAATCACACCAGAGACTCACTAACATTCATATTTCAATGACCTGACCAACTCGAAGTATGCTAGATGAATTGCCTTTTATCCGAGTTCACACTGAGCCGAATATGAATGTAAAAACAAACTTCAAGTCAAGATAGAGACACGAAAAATTCATCGTCGTCGTTTCGGAGAAAAACACGCAATAGTCAGCCATTTCGCGTTGTCATTTTGCAGATAACGACTAAAACATTTACCAAGATGTTTTAACACATGCGTAGAGTCAATGTGCCTTCTCTCAGCATGTAACATTGCTGGACACTTTCTAGCCTGCATTGAAGGCGTAAATAAACGGAGAAGGGTTAGGGGAAGCAAAAACTTGAGGAAGATGTTCCTCCTCACTCCCATGCCTCTCTCATTCTATTCCTTCTTCTTCTTTCACGCCTGTACGACACACTTCAACATTTCTTGATCAACAGTTATTGAAACTGAGTATCAGAGGAGGTCCCAGAGAAGAAAGGGTCAATGTACCATTTATTGCGAGAATCTGAGGGTAAATCAGTACGGTCACTTACCACAGATGGTTTGAATGGTGGCGCGACTTTCCGCTCCTCAAGATTCTTCCAATTAATGCGCTCGAAAAACTTATGATTACGGATGTTAGGGTTTGTTCCTTCTTTGTACCCGAGTCTCTCGACTGGCGTTCTTTCAAAGAGCTGCAAAAAAACACAAAATGAAACATAGGTGAGTAGAAAAAGGACCAACACTACAAGAATAAGACAAGAATTCACGACTGAGTCACAGGTTTAGTCACACTTGTGTCACGCCATGTTAAAGAGACTTATCGCACTTTTGTCACGCCGTTATTTAGAGGTGCTATACCTTGTGTGACCTACATGATGCCCCCTTTCTTTCCGAGTTGCCTCTGAGAACTGCCGAGTTCGTCAAGACAATATACTCACGATGTTCTTTGCTTGGTTCATCACGTATCAAGTATGAATTGTACCCACCTGACTCAGACAGTCTTCGGCAGCACTTGATATCCACTTGGGATAATGAACTTTGTCACGGCAGATAGAGTCGAACAAATCTTCTTCATCCTCGCCAGCGAACGGTGACTGTTGGAATAACAAAATAATAAATTAAATAAGTTAAACAAATGGTCTAGTATTTCACTCAACGGGTAGTAGCTCCTTAATGCAACAGAAACCGGATCCTAGTGGCTCATCTTACCTGGCCAATCAGCATCTCGTATACAAGAACACCAAAGGACCACCAATCAGCGGCCGAGTCATAACGCCATCCCTTCAATATCTGGAACAAATAAAGGACATGATGACGTTATACACAAGGGTGCGTATAATTATTGACAGATTGTACACACGTATAATTACTGTAATCAACTATAGTTAATTTTAACAAAACAATAAAATGTAATTATTTTTAATTATACAGTTATAAGTAATTTTAATTGCACAATCATAATTATGACATAATTATACGTGCGTCTAATCATGACATAATTATACATACGAGAACACGAAAACACGAAATTCAAAATGATAAAAAGAAAAAGAAAACGTCGCAAACAGACCTCAGGAGCAATGTAGTCAGGTGTACCACAGAAAGTGGTTGCTTTTTTCGCCTCCAAGATTCCTTCTTTACACATTCCAAAATCTGCTAGCTTAATGTGTCCATCTGCATCCAGCAAGACATTGTCGAGTTTTAAATCTCTGTCAGAAAAAAAGTTCACTTGTATGAGTTTCGAGGCTTAAGTTCTTCTTTAAGGGCATGCAAATATTGCTCAAACCACTGATGCCAACAAAAACGTATTCAGAACTTTTCAACAAAACTCAACTTCTAACAGTAGCTCTCATTGCCAACTTTGAATGCTAATTCTCCTTGCTGAATATCACACATTTCTTGTAATTTCAGTTCTGAGAATTTCGTTGTACATCAAGACAATATTCACTACTTGAAAATTTTCTTTTACCTCGCCATCTGATAGTGTATTGAAATGAAAAATAATCTGATGCTACTTAAAGGTAAAGGGCGATAGTTAAAGCTAAGAGTGGATTTTAATTATTGTGGAACTCTACCTGTAAATGATTCCCCGAAAATGTAAGAACTCCAAACCACACACAATTTCAGCGGCATAAAACCTGCACAAGTGGAAACAAAAGCCGTTAGATTATTTCCTAGACTACAAGTAGTCCCTATTTCGCTTAGTCCATCGTCCACCGCGAGAAAAAATGGCTGCGCGAAATCCTCCCAGGACTTCACGCGGCCATTTTTTCCTCGCGGTTTATTTACGGTATCGTTCGATGGACTAAGCGAAAGAGGGACTTCTTGTAGTCTAATTATTTCCTTACAATAACAAAAAAAGTAAAATGTAACTTGTACGCCGCGTTTAATCAGTAACACGCCCCTGATGAGTGAACTCTTCAGACTAAACATTTACAAAGGGTGGACGATGTGACTCTTTCGGGGNGGGAACGATTAAAAAAAAACAAAACAAAACAAATACTCTGCAGGCATACTTGTAAAAAAAGAAACATTCATGCACACACAACTGCCAAAAAAAACTCCACGCACGTTCAGTGAGCGAAAGAAAATCATGTTATACGGAGAAAACAAAATCAGGCATACACACGTCCGGAGAAATAAATTTCCAAGTGCATGGAATGGTTAAAAAAAATTGTGCAAAAGACCACTGGTCCACCACTAAGGCCACGCTTTTCTCGGCCAGTGACCGTAACCTTGAAGTGAATTTCAGGTGGATTTCACCGACGCATCCTTTGACTGAGTTAAAATAAAATTGAGAAAATTATGGACGGACGCGTCTACAGCAGTTTTGATTGGTTCACTAAACTAGGGAACCAATCAGGGCCAGTTATATATAAACAATAAAAAAAGCGTCACAAACGTACCTGGATCTTGCTTCATCGAATTTGCCCACTGTTTGTATATGGAACATTAAGTCACCGCCTCCAAGGTATTCCATAACAAAAAACAGGTGATCCTGTGAAAACAACATGACTTAATATCACGCGAGGAAATTTGAAACCTGACTAAGACAAAAAAATCACATCCAGGTTAAAAGATGAATAAATGATATCTTTTGGTTTATTCCCCCAAGCCCAAGTTAGAATTTTAATACCTCATTACATGAAATTTTCGTGACACTTTTTTTTTCGCAAATTTCAGGTGAGCATATAAATTTTGCGACACTTCAATGCCGCGATTGGGCGAAAACCTTGTATTTTGAATGACTTTAACTTCGCGTTTTTGAGTAGCAGGCAATTTATTTCCTCGGCAGTGATACTTTTAACATGTCCTTTAATTTAGTACACCGACTTTATGAAAGGTACAATGACGTCAAAATTAACAAAACTGCTACGACGGGACTATACATGCATGTCAACAGTAACATAATGTAAGTTACTTATTTTTCGCAGTAGAATACGGCCCGCTAAATTGACCAATCAAAGCGCGCGTACTAACTGAGAGATATAATAAAGTAAAAGACTGTATGAGCCATTGGTGAAGTTACATGTGTTGTAATTATCATACCTGAGACTGAAATGCTGAGTGAAGATGCGTTAAAAATGGATGTCTTGTAGCTAGTGCTAGAACTCTTCTTTCTACCATAGTGCATTCCACATCATCATCTTCTAATACTACGTCTTTTTTCAGTGCTTTGATTGCATAAGCTTGCTTTGTTTCCTTTAGCTCACAAAGGAGAACCTGAAGGAAGGAAGTGAGCATCTAAGTCGTACAGCGATAATGAGACAGGCAAGACCCATCAACACCAAATCACCTGTGGTATAAATTCTTTAAAAGACTGATACTAAATTCGTAAACCTTACTATAAAGAAGAGGGCCCGAAATGCACGTGGGTTTGGCGGGATGCGGGATGCGGAGTGAAAGTCAAAATGATGGCGGGATACGGGACGACATAGTTTCATGGCGGGATGCGGGATAAAAATATTTAAGCAGGAACAGGATTTGCGCATTTTGACAAATGGGATGCGGGATAGTTTTAAACTTTATGACGGGATGCGGGATGGAAAACAGAAAATCACATGTTACAGACATTATGCGGTGAAATGCAACACTAACCAGGAGGAATCAAGATAATAAATTCTTACTGGGGTGGGACTGAGACAAAAATAGTGGTGGGATGCTGGATTGAAAACACCTAAGTTGGACCCTCAAAGAAATGTTTTCAAACAGTACTAACAAAGAACTTAAATTTCCATCTTGAGAACAAGAAAGCCTTGAAAAAGACAACTGCTCAAGAATTGACTGCTGTACAGTAGAGCAATTCAAACAGAATCATTTTACCTTGCCGAAGCTACCCTTGCCTAGAACTTTAAGTAGATTGAAATCTTCAATATGGTACAGTCGTTGCTGAATCTTTCGCACATCTCTTCCTTGAATGCTAACAGTCCGCTGAGGGAGGGGAGGAGAAATGGCGTCCCACAGAGCTTCGTAAACCCCAGTGTCATCATCATCATCATCATCATTGCTATCTTCATCAGTTTTACCAGACGTTGGAGAAGACTTGCCTGCCCCACTTGGTTTCTGTTCCTTGCTAATTTTACGTTTTCTTATATCATCCTATATAGAAAGAATTTATACAATCAAGTTATAAAATAGCCTTTCACGTTTACAAATGAATTCCACAGTGCATGTGAACAGAGGGAGGGGTTGTTAGAGCTGGTACTGAAGCAATGCATGCTCACCTTTGCATTAGCCATTGCCTCTGCCAACATTTTTTGGTTTATTCCGCAATCGTTGGGAACTTTTGATTGGCACTTCTTGTGGCAATTCATGTTACATGCTAGGAGGAAAAAACTCTATAAATTAATTAACTCTTAATTATTATTAAATTCTTTAAACTAAATATTAAATCAAGGCTCACTCTTGTGCCACATCCAATTTTAATACACTCAGAGAATTGAAAAGGTTTTCTTTTAAAGTTAACAAACTGTTTCTGACGAGCTTTTAATAAGGCCAAAAACTTGGCCATGTTAATGAAGAGGCTGTAACAATGAAGTGGCTATATCAATTATATGGCTGAAAGGTGGCACGCCACAAACTGTGTGCTATGGTCAACACACGATACTTCTTTGGGGAGAAGTGTTGTTTAGTGATCTTAGAAAACTGCTACACTGTACATAACCTTAAGGAAAAAAAATCCATATTTATAGTGCAGTTTACCATGAGAATCTGTTTGAGAGTCATAAGATTTCTTATTAATAGTTAATAACTGCCATGTAAAGTGGAGGTTGGCTTCCTTAGACACCCGTGCAAGAGCTCTCACTGTTTTGGCAACCAGCTCCTAGATAGAAACCGCTCCCATGGCTGGCAAATCCTGGCAACCCAGCCATGAGCCCCCATGCAGAAGGGAGAAAAACAAGTGCCTGTCGCACTGATAAAACAGTGGAAAGAGAGGGAGGGACAGTGGAGTGGAAACAGCCTCTGAGAAGATTCCTTGCACTCAAGAAAACACCGACTAAATGCAAAACTGCTACAACACCCTTTGATCCAAGAACACATGGAATCCTGGTGCATCTAAATGCCACTGACTGCAGAGGTTAGACTTGTGCTCCTTGTAGTTAACTCTGTTAAATTGCTCAAAATAACTGCATTTAATTCACAGTCTCGCAGATTTCCAGTGTTGCAGTGCTCCACAGTCAGTCTGTCTCAAAGACATGTTAACTGATAAATTAACCTTTAGCTGTACCTTGACATTCGAGTCCTTGTCTATACAATCCATACAGCAATGATCCACAGTGGTCACAGAATGTAGGTCTATAGAATGTTTTTTCCTTGAATTTGTGTGGCATGTCAATTTTAAACCGCTCTTTCATTTGCTACAAAATAATATAATGATATATAGTAATATATCTTATTACTGTAGATGTTTTGGTGTGTAGTATCGTTGTATATTTTCAAGAGTTGCCCATGGACAAGTCAAAATACAAACAACGAGTAAAAATATAAAGCGATTCTACACACCAAAACAACTAATAAGAGATTTATTATCCAACTGCTGTAGTCAATAAATTTATCAATGAAAGAGGAAGAGTGTGACAGTTTTGTGTGTGCACCCCAACCTGTACAGCAAACAGGTTTTTTTACTGTACACATAACTGTATGTGCATTTATATCACTGCATATTTGTACTGTTATTTAGATGGTATTCGCTGCAGTTGAATAATAATATTAAATTAATATTGAAAAACACTACACAAGTCAAAACCACTGGGAGAAAAGAAAACATAAAATAATTCTCTGATTAATAAAAAATCATTTTTATTTAAGAAATGACCAATTGACAAAATTAACTTGAACTGATAAGAAAACTTCTTACAATCAATACCTTTGTTTCCTCAGCTACATGTTTAGTTCCAGAACAACTGCTCAAAATATATTCATGGCATTTTTTATGACACACCATAGTGCAAACTGAAAATGAACAAACAAATGATAATATTAAATCACAGGAGCATCAGAGTGGTGAGCCAGTATGATAAGGCACCTAGGGTGGAGCAAAGCACTTGCCACAGACATCCCACCTTCAAGCAATTGTGCAATATAAGTGTGCAAAACAAAAGCAGATTAAATGTCTTTTAAAAGTTTCCATTGATCCTAAGCAAATTCATTATTAATAATTATTCATTTGTAGTTTTTACTACAATTGCTACTAATCTCGCAATCTGATTGGCTAATTTGCCGTTGTCTATAAGAGTCCCGACAACGCTGCTTGCGTCATTGTGTCACGCTCTGAAGAAACATTTTCTTTGATGTTGATGTTGTGGTAAAAAACAAATCGAATTTGGTTTAGTGTTGTCTGTACTCTTATCGACAATGATATGTGTCATCACAGGAGTCAAAATTAGTTGTGGACTCACTGTGCCTTGTGAGTCCACAACATTTTGACCACTGTAATGACACATATGGTTGTCGATAAGAGTACAGACAACGCTAGACCACATTCGATTTGTTAAATTCCACTAAGTCTTTCCATTACTGGTTTTATCCAGGAAGTTGTTGCTAAGCAGTAATTAACAACAAGACTTAATAAGTAAAATGCACATTCAAAGACTTCTTACCTTTACATTGATAGCCTTGTTTCTTAAATCCCCTACAAAGAAAAAGAAAGAAAAACATTTTTTTTTTATAAAGTGATAACTTGATTAGATGTAAACAAATTAAGTAGTAGTAACAGTCAGCCTTTACCAAAAAAAAAAAGAAAAGAAAAGGAAAGAAAGAAAAGAAAAAAAAATCCAGCATAGAGATAAAAAAGTGTAACTCGAGCCGGCAAGGAGTGAATTCAACTGGATAAACCTTACAGTGTAATGAATTTAAACAAAGTTATGTACACCCGGGGGCATAATGAAAGGGAGGTGCAAAGACCTCTTTATGCTCTTGAAATTTGGGACCTTCAGGAATTTTTTTAAGCAAGAAATTTTGTACTGACCAGTTTTGCGCAGAAGATTTTGGCAGGGCCTTTTTTTT